TCAAGACTTTTTTGTGTTTTGTCTCGTGGCAATCAATTACAATCAAACGTTAACCGTAAAAGCCATCACCCCATCGATACCCTCTCAAAATCGTATGGATTCCACGCAGAAACCTTAACTTGATGTGACAACTTGGAATGCGCACGAAATCTTTTGACCAGAAATAAGAATAAAGAAACTCTTCGCGAACACGCTCCTCCTAGGGACCATAATTCTTTTGGTCCGCAACAAGAAAAACAATCTTTCCTAAGAACGCGCAGAGTACTCATTTTCGATAGGTGGCCAGTCAGACTCGAGCAGGACCGAAAAGATCGCGGTCTCTCGGAACGGTGTGAAAGTCTGCGATAAACGAAACTGACCATTACTTCCTTTAAAGAATGTAATGGAAAATGCTGTTCACGAACAACTTTTTAATATTAATCGCAAACTGAAATTTAACTGAATAAATTTTTCGCCGCAAGATTTTTTTTAAAGCATGTGCCGTTGCGTCGCCCAGCCATGTTATGGAGGTCTCTTTACCATACCAGTCGTACTGGCGAAACACTTTAAAAATAGATGGAAATAGTGTAAATAGTCTCTCGGACCTTTTCCGCTTCATCTCCACGCAAGTTGTAGGTGATTTCAAGATCCTTGATGAAGTTCTCTTTGAACAGCGGATACTGTTTTAAGATGTGAAGCACGTCTTCTCTTGTTACAAGGCGCAGCTCACAATACGTTAATGCCCGGATGCTGGCGTTAGAGTTGACTACAGGCCTGTCGGGATCGATAGCGAAGTTTTCACCAAACGAGTCGCCTTTACCTAGAGAAAACAAAACAGAAACAGAGCGGGAGTGAAGGACACCGCTCCCATCAACCAGGTATCAGAAATATATTAAAAAAGGCAACACAAGAGACATACACGACCAAAGTGAATTATTAAAGCGAATTTATTAACCCGAACAAACGTGTATCTTTCACATGGGTGCTTAAGCTCCCCNGTGTGGAAAGGATTTTATAGTCGGTGTGAAAATTTTTGGAAATGACCTCTTAAAGATATGATGAGGGAAGTGTAGTGAAAGAAACCCACCCTGATTTAGCGTTTTAGAATATTTGAATTACAATGCTCTATCTCCAAACATAACGAATTGCCAAGCAAACTCTTTGTCGTAAAAGATACAACACTGACCTAAAATTGCCATGATGACGTCACTGCTCAGCACTTCCACTGTGCCTCGTATCACAAAGTACAAATGATTCACCTCATCACCCTGGTAGATGATGTAATCCCCAGGGGGGAGGTGAGTGGTTTTAATGCGCAGGGCGAAAGCACGTAAACAACCCAGGGGAGCCGAGGTGAATGCTGGGTAAGACTGAAGCAGACTGGCGTTCAGATGGAGACAAATATCTGCTTGAAGACACTCGGGGAAATGTTTCAGAACCTGCGATGACAAAAATTGTAAGCTAATAGGCCAGATATCGTAACTCTTAGTTAATAAATATCATATTTAAGATGAAATCCGATAGGAAATCGAACAATTTGTGTAAAACTTGTGTAAAACATTTCTTCCCAAAAACTTGTGCCAGAATAACTTAAAGTACATACCGTCCTTTTTGCATTTTCTAAAAGCTAAAGATATAAATAGTTGCCTGAAATACACCAAAAACAATTTCCCATAGGAACTCGAGAAAATAAATTTCAAAGTTCAGCGAAATTGTGCAGACACAGGTAACATTTCATCATCAGTTTCATTTCACCAGTGCTTTGAAGTGTTTCATATGAACTTCAAAATTTGTTTTCGACAGTTGGTGTTGTTAGAAATGATTTCTCTTGAGAAGATATTTAAAACGCAGTTGCACACAAGTTTGCAATACAATGTAAATAACGTCGGTACAAAGTTTTTAACCGCTTGTTACCCGAACATGTGGTAGATTCCTTCTTAAATCTACTGACCTGTTCCATGTCAATACCGTTTGTATAAGACCACACGTGATGGGCGTAGTCCTCGACTCGTTGCCGCAGAGGACTGGGTATCTGGTAAAACCGGATAAACTCGCGCACCTTCTGCATCTGCGCGTGATAACGAGATGTTGTCGAATACAGCCTCGCTATGATGGCGGCAACATTACCAAATATGGCAGCGTAAAATAACGCTGAAAGAAAAAGGGTAGATTGGTATTTTATGTTTACCTGCAATAGGCCATTTCCAAGTTACTTTGTGCCTCTGTGCCAAAACGGATCTTCGTGCGAAACTATTCATAAAAATGTGTTCCGATTACAGGTTTATTTTCATGCAAATCAAACTCATTTTCATTTGAAAGGTTTTTGTAGGAAGACTCGTTTTGAAACGGAGGTACAAGGTAACTCGGGAATGGCCTGTTCTAACGACAGAGACTCAGTATGAATAGGGAGAATTAGTAAATTGGACATATTTCGCGAATCTGGTATGCAAATTGTTTGCAACACACAGTACCCCACTATACGGATTTGAAATTTGGACGTAATCTTATCGCCCCTCTGGGCAGAAATTTAATGGATTTCTTCTTCGATGGCTGTTACTTGGGGAGGGGTGTGGGTTAGGGAGCTTTCGGAAAGGGTGGCAGGTTCGTATTATGGAAGAAGGGGGGGGGGGGGGTCAGCACAAGCAAATCAGCAGCCAGCTAAAAATAAGAAACGACTTACATCCAATTAACATAACACAGATAGAGAAGATTTTCTCGGTGTTGGTGTTCGGCGAAACGTTTCCAAACCCAACACTCGTCAAACTACTCAACGTGAAATACAAAGCTGTTATATATTTGGACTGCAAGTCCGGACCACTGGTGTAGTCGCTCTTGTTATAAGGTTGATTTATCTGCGTCGCCAGTGAGTCCAGCCAGCCTATCGTAGTGCTCGGGTCTTCCAGTTCATGTTCAATATTTCCAATAAAGTACCAAATGCAGGCGAGCCAGTGTGCAAGTAACGCGAACGAACACATCAGAAGTAACAAGACCGAGATGCCGTACTCCGAGTAGTGATCCAATTTGCGAGCAACCCGGACGAGTCTCAAGAGGCGAGCTGTCTTCAGGAGCCCGATCAGCGTTGTTGTCTGCGGAAAATAACAATTGTTAGCAAAGAAACCAACACTGAATGTACAACTTACACAGGTCTAGATGTGGGGTAGTCTCGTTCGCAGCCGTTATTAGGGTCGTCACGCAGCAGTGGGGAAAAGCGTTGCGTGACGACCCTAATAACGGCTGCGAAGGAGACTGAAGGGTGGGGGGGGNGGGGAAAGGGGGGAACGGGGAGAGGCTGGAATCTCAGTTATCAGTTTAGCATTTCAGCCCAATGCTCATCTATCACTAAATTTTACAGATCTCGGGTCTCAGCTATGATTTTAAGATTACTTCATAACTCAGCTAACAGTTACAATTTTCACGAAATCTCAGCTATTAGTAAAGTCTCGTCCAGACCCTGGCTCTAGCGTACCTGATCAGTATTGCCGATCATGATGAGTAGTTCAAACGGTATCGCCGCCACCAAGTCAATAACAAACCACGTCTTACAGTAATGCACGGCGATACGGCAAGGGTGACTGACAACCTCGTCATTAGCGTCCACGAAAGTCGTCCGGAAGTTGATAAATATGTCTACGATAAACATCACATCCACGATGTAATCCACTATGACCAGGGGGTCGGAGTATATATTCACCGGCCCCGTGTTCCGTCTTGTTTCCGGGTCCTTGTTGCGTTCCTCCTGTTGTTTGTCCCGCGTCAAGATGAAGGAAGCCACGTAAGGCGTCACTATCGCCGTGTAAATAACCAGGAACAACACCAGCCAGTCCCAGAATGCCTTGAAGGGTGAGTAGTGAAGTATTGTCCACGGGTGGATTTTAGGGGCTTGGAGCTTGTATTCTGGAAGCACATCAGCACCCAGGGACATAACCTAGAGACAAGACACAGGTCACTAAGGTTAGGTTCAACTATCATTTAGGCTCGATCTGATTTTCCGCCGTTCTGGGCTGAGCGCGGGCTCGTTTCCCGAACAGCGGCTGGTAATCGAGCCTTCCTTTCATTACGATGACGTGGAAGCAGGGGCGTTCAATTGAAGGCCGCTGTACTCTATGGATCGCATATGCAGACCTTGGAAAAGTCCTTGAAAATGAAAATTTTGATTTTCTCCCTGAAAAGGCCTTGAAATTTTACCGGCAGTCCTCGATTTTTGATGGAAAGTCCTTGAACACTAGGGACTATAGGACAAAAAAGTAATATTGACGAGGATAAACTAACTGTATGTTGAGAGAAACAATGGGTTCTAGAGTATCCCGCATTTCTTGTCCGTCCATCTAAATAACTTTAACGTGCGATTCTGAGAGAAACGAGTCTCTGAATCTTGCTGAATTGTCCTTGAGCAAAGAGACAGGTTTTTGCTTCTATGTGAACCAAGGACTGGAAGGAGGACGCTTAATGGGAACATTACGGAAAATATCCAAAACAGAAAGAAAGGAAACAAAAGAAAACAAAAATATAATAAAACAAACAACCACAGATCTGTATAAACCCTGTGGAGTAAATTTCCTTGACTAATTCGCTGTTCATTTTGTCTTCTTTCTCACCGAGAAATACGGTGTAATCTTTTACTACGTGGGCGTTTAAACTCAACACCCAATCTTTCGATGAGCTTCCTGTTTGTAATAAATGCCCTTACTCCTACATGGGCCCTCTTCAGTATGCTACCGTAACCATGTGTAGTGCACCAAGTTTAGTTAGGTTTGGATTTGAGAACGAGTTGTTATGTAAGTCTGGGAAAAATTCAAATACATTCGAGTTTATCCTTTGAATTTCCATAAGCCATGACAGCCATGGCCTGGCCAATCGTGAAATCAAATTTAAACGATACACATCTCCAAAAATAAAATACGAAGCGATACCTGAGCGACTTTTTCCGTTTTTCGTGGGTGTACGAGCTGTTGCAGACCCTGAGAGGCGATAAGCGTGGAACCTCGGAAATCCATATTTGTTCCATCTAGCCAAGGTTTGTTTCGAGAATTCCACAGCGACGACTCCGAAACCGCGGCGGACAGCCGACCTTTTAGTTCGGGAATATACAGCATGTTTCCTGGATTGGAAGCTGGCGATGCCACGGGTTTAATAAGCGATTCTGACTCGCCTCTAGCGTTCTTTGAAATCTTTGACATGTCATCCAAAGACGACGATTTTAGGAGAGGCGACTTGCGCGAGGGTTGCTGCTCTGGGGAAGACGCTGGGGAGGGGTGCTCTCTCGGACTTGGAACTGACCCAGTGGGAGTAGGGGGATGAACACTCATGACTGGAATAAATGAAGGAGACTCTACTTCGCTGGTTCCGCTGGAAGTGTATGTGAAAAATGTTTCGGGGTCGCGGCTGCTTTTTGCGCTTTGATTGTCGTCTTCGTCTGTGGCGGCACCATTATATTCTTTTTTCTTTCGCCTGATGGCGGCGGGAATTCTGTTCACTTGCAAAGGAAACTGGAAACAGGATTCTACAAATGAGAGAGAAAACATGACATTGACAACTTCCACGGAACCCAGAGCCGGAATTACGCTTATTTCCTTCATTCCCAAATACACGATAGAAAGGAAAACAAAAACAGAAATCACCCCTTTAGCTGTGCTTTTTATAAATTGAACAATCTCACACGAAACATGACATACCCTAAAATGAACATGCTTGGACGCAACGATTTCTTTGCCTTTTAATCGCTATCACTGAGTAAAATGATAACCTTATTTAACAGAGACTGTAGCTGACTTAAAACGTTGTAACGCATACCCAAAGCCTGGTGAATAGCCGAAATCTAAGTTCTTCGAAATAATGACCACTGCAAGACGGCAACTGAGAGGGTCGCTTTGAAAGTCTGCTAAGGAAAATGTATTTGCGTGATGACTGCGATGTTTGACGACTACCAATTTATGCCTTATTCAAAGAAAGTTTTATAGAACACATTCTGCAGAGCGAGACACATTCGTGAATTAATGCAACGTGCCCTTCTATTAATCTTTGAAAACTGATTCGCATTACGCTGAGGCTAAAAACGCACGATAAATCTGCACGAGAAAGTTTTTGGAGTTACGAAGCAGTGTATCGTAACATAACAAATCATTTTATCATTTCAGCGCGTTCCTTCCTGGTTTGCGAATAATATTACAATGGCCTTGTGCGGAGCGACATTAGCAAGGATAAGGCTAGTAAATAAAGAGGAAAGACGAATTCTTAAAAAAAAAAACTGCCACGGTCAAGAAATATTTCAAAACTGCTACCAAAAGATAATTTGCGTGAAAACTGTAAACTTTTCGACTGCTGTTTTATCCCCCAGAATTTATCCAAAAATGTTTCCTTTACAAGAGATAATATACTTTATAAATAAAAACATAATGGGACGGAGAGACAAGCAAACAAATTTAACAATCTTACCCTGGTCGCCTAGATATAAAAGTTCCGCTCAAATCCTTTCAATCAGGGGATTTCGAGCTTTTAAAACCGTCCAGAAGGCGTTTAATACGAGCGGAGGGATTTTCCCCCAACGAAAGTAGAATCCAACGAAGCACACTGCCGGTGTAAATTCATTTCCCTTACCAAACAATAACCGGATTTTCTCGTTTTGGTATTGGTCTGTCGTTTCAAAAGGCAATTCTTTTTAGCGCAGACAGCTGACAGAATCGATCGAGCCGAAAAACAGTGTCGCCGGAAACTGTCGCGATCTTGACACATCGGTTTTCGCGAGATTGTGTGAAAGCGAGTGCAACGCATAAATCTGAATGTTCTACGAACGATTAAATTCGTTATCAACGCTGAGATTAATCGATGTCAGAAAAGAATTCCACCTGCTTTAAAAGCCAGCCTAAGCTATTGATTGCTATCTATTAACCTTACCGCTACTCGCGGAGTGCACGGAAAATGCAAAGACACGAAAATTGGAAACTAAGACAAACTGCGAAAAGATACCATTGAAATGAAACTTTTCCAATGAACCGAAACGAAAAATCAGCGAAATTCAAGTCTCAAAAGTTTTCTCCCGACCTCAAAATGGTATCAGCTTGAAAAGTCGGCCTGCTCCGTGCTGTTGTTTATGGGAAAGCCTCTGAAAGATTAATTCAAATACCACCATGTTTTCTTTTTTCATTAAAGTTCTGATGTCTATTTTGAGTCTATGTCTTTACACCATGCGGTTAAATCTTCAATTTCGCTGATTTGCACACACCGAGCAATGCCTGTGAGAAAATAACCAGATGCTACATATTTTGAATTGAAAAACACAGCAATTTGAAAGCTGAAGAAGTGGAGTTCACAGCTTGGAGGACTGTCAAAACTGGTGATACATCGCAGTTAATAAATTGACTGCCTACAGCGGAAAAATCAAAATATCGCCCAACTTAAATGACATCGCCCGAAACCATCTCGCAGCCCACAAATAACCTCTATCCGCTATTAAAATGTTGTTCGCACTACAAGGCTTCCATTGATTATACATTAAATCTCCACAATTCTTGGAGAGTGAAAGCAATAAAACTATAGCTGGCCTTGCCAAGATAATTATACTGGATGGACTAGAGTGGTTTTGAGACGAACCGGGGGGAGGGACTCAGGAGGTGACGAAGGAACACCCCTCAAAGTTTTCAGAAACCAAACAAGCCTGCTTACAAATAATATGTTGAACAGGTTTCAAAAGTCGAGTCGACAATGTAAAATCTTTAAGTTATCCCTGTTGAACATTCGGAGAGGGGGGGGGGNGGGGAGGGGAAACTTCACTCATTTGAATTTATAAGTCGGAAAGTGTATAAGCAAGTCTTTGCTATCTTATGTTAGATAACAATGTCATTTTAGAATTCAAGCAATGTTTTTTTCTTTTCGATCTCGGGCGACCATTAGTATATTACCCCGGTACTAAACGATACATCGCTTCTTTAACTTCATGCACCACCTGAACGCTGCCGCGAAATCCGGAGATGCGCAGCTGAGCAAACATGGAAATTTGAATTTACTTTAATATTATTTTGGGGACTTTCATTAATCAAAATGTACAAAACTCGTGCTAGAAATGGTAGAAATCTTGTAATTCAGCCCTTGAAAAGAAAGAAAGGGTTTTCAAATCGAGCTCGAGAACGAAAATCATTCAATTTAAGCTGATGAAAAAATATATGAAACAAACCGCGCAAAGAACATCGTTTACCTTTCTACAGAAAAAACTCCCATAGCAAATGAGATCAGTTTTACAACAAAACGAATTTTGAAACTTTTATCTTCTCCTCTCAACAAATGAACATCGATTTTTCACAAAACACGAAAAAACCTCCGACAGATCGCGGCGACTTTAGTTTCCACGAAGTGTTGACATCTCCAAGAGGTTTCTTTTTCAATGAGGCCATTGCAAAATCGTCCATCTATCGACAACTGCAGTTTTAAAAGCCCTTTTCACCTGGCTATCAGGTAAAAACACTTCTCTAGATTGCAATCAAAAGTGCCTTAAAACACCTAGGGCTTTGGTTATTAAAAATCATTGCGAAGACCCACCAGCGAACCAACGAAACATTCAAGAAAGCTATCACAATGCTCAAGACAGAAAAAGGGGTCGATATCGATTTTTTGATTTCATTTGTTTTGAAAGATCCCGCACTGTCGGTGAAACTGACGATATATTATTTGTCGCGGCTTCGCCTTGAAGAAGCATCGCATTGACTCTTAATCTCATTTGCGGTTGGACCCCGCTTTGCCAAATTGCCTTCTCATTTTGAAAAGCAACGAGTCAAACTGACGTTTAGATGCATTCTTACCTCTTTAGCCGCAAATGACACAGGAAGAAATAAGTAAATCTCCTGTTGACGACGGCAAGATATTGAGCTTAGAAAAACCGGAAAACTCTCCACAATATGCAGATGTATGCAAATCATAAAGACGGCTGTGGAGATTAAAATAAACATATTGGAATCAACCTCGCGAGTGTTTCCTGATAGATAAAAATTTGCATTGGACTTGATGGTCAGTCAAAAATTTAAGCTGAAATTTAAGAATAAAGTGCTAAAGTCGTCTCAAAAATTGTCATTTTTCATTTCCTGTACAAACGCATTTCAAGACGAATGCGAGTTTTCCTCAGAATGTCAACTTTAAAGTAGACATAATAAAAGGCCACAAGACACACACTATGGAAAATCTAGAATTAAAAACAGGATAAGTTTCAAAAGCAAGCAAAAACAAAATAAAAGGTAACCTCTCTTCCGCGTCATTCCTTTCCGGTTAATTTTAATTTTCTTGCGTTCCCTTTTCCTTTGTTTCAATTTTCTTTGACATTGTTTCTAACCTATCCCAAGCCCTATCCATTTATCGGCCGCAGAAGTACGAGAGGAATTGGGGCGAATCAAATAGAAGAGCAAGGGGGAGTGAGTGGGGTAAGGCTTAGCAAGACACGAGATGGCAGAGACACAACTTCTATCGCTTTTCATCGCAAGTTTACCTGGAGATACTTCTGCGTACACTGCCAATCTATGGTTTTCAAGAACCACCCGAAAACGTTTGGTATCTATTTTTATTAAATAAATAAAGACAAATACTATATTCTTAGAAAAATCGATCATTCATTATAGGTTTCTGACAAACTAGCATAGAAAGTTAGACGAGAGCAAAGCGAGAATACACAAATACAAATCTGAATGCATGAAAAAAAATTAGTGAGAAAAAAATTCAACAACCGAATATAAAACCTCAGAATCACTTCGCTGAAAGAGAGAGAAAATATTTTGCAAAGACTAAGGTAACCATAGGTGCAAAATGCAGCTGCTGTCGCAGCCCGGATGTCACAGACCTTTCTCAGGTTATATCGTTTCGAGTTTATACGACTAAGTTTTTTTTCTCTTTGAGCGAACACATCGGTTTCTCGATGTCCGAATTATAGTGGTAGAAAACTAAACTCTGTTTGAACCAAATGATCAGTCGGTAATACAGTCGAACACCTTGAGGACCGTCATTTCGTCCACAATAGCGGGGTGGGTGCAATGAAAATGATCCAGTTTTTTGGTCACGTACTGCTTAGTCTCCTTAGCAGCCGTTATTAGGGTCGTCACGCAACGCTTCTCCCCCAGAAGCGTTGCGTGACGACCCTAATAACGGCTGCGGAGGAGACTACGTACTGCTATGCAAACTAGGAAATATTGTTGCGGAAACATTGTTTCTTATTATTTTTCTGGGATGGCTAAATTAGCGGGAAGGAAACAAAATGTTTTGCTGTCCCGGTGGCTAAACGAGGAGACAATGTTTCTGAAAACAAAGGTTCACGCATGCGCATTATAATAAAATACTTCCGAAGAAGTCTGTGGAGACTTCTTTTTCCGTTCCAGGGCTTGTTCCTGCATAATTTCTGATCTCAGAATTTTCCACCTGCTTTTGCAATTGTCCCTTGTGATACCATATTACTCTGGCATCTGTGCACCGATTTGACGGTAAGCCACTCCTTTTTTGTCCCTATTCATCCAGCCTTCATGCCTTCATGAGCTTCATCACACAAACAGTCATACAAGGCAACGAGTAAGTCCCTGTCTTCGTCCTTCCGATTCCTTTCGTTCTTTCTCTTCCCTTTTCTATGACCTGCTTGGGGCTATTATATCTTCGACTTCGCCGTTAGCCATTGTTGTACGCTCGCCGTTGCTGGTAAACATTTTTAAATAGCAGCACTGGGAACCTAATCAACATTTCTTTCAGGCTAAACTGGGAAACATATGTTTCGGAAGCAAAATGTTTGTCCGGGGAGCAAAAATGGTTTTGACCTGAGGCAAAAACATTTTCTTGTTTCCTAGCTGCGAAATGTGTTTCCGCAACATATCTTTCCCGTGTGGCTAAACTGGGAAACATTTGCCTCCGCAACAACGTTTCCTTGTTTAGCCAGGCCTTAAGACTAATTTGTATTACACATTTACTTCAGTTCATAATCATATAATATGAGTCAAAATATTGTACAGACTATCGAACATCCCAAGACTGCCGAATAATTCCCGTATGTCATTCAATACGTCCAAGTTTTTCGTTATAACAAGAGAAAAACAGTGAAAACATTAGTTTGGGACCATCTGAAGTAATAACGGGAGCTAGTCCGTATTAGCGGGAGTTGTTTCCACAAATTTCTCTGTAGTTTCGGCCGGGAATGTAGCTTCTGTCCGTAGTAGTGGGGTGTCCGCAAGGCGAGGGTTGACTGTATATGGTGTCCATATTATGGAGGTGCCGTTAAGGAGAGGATTGTTGCGGGCCCAAGAGAGGCCCGCAACCCTAATCTTGACAGTGACCAGCGGATTGCGTTTTACGCGTGAGCGCCACGTTAATAAAGAGCGAACAGAAAGCGGAAGTTGAAAATTTTCTTCTTCCACCAAGAACGATCGGAATGCGAAAAATGTGTCAATCGCTACAGTTTGTCAATCACTAATTATTTTCTTCATTTTATAAACCTACCAATTACGAGGATTTTTCACGGTTTTCCGAAAGTTTCCGACCATTTTCCGAAGATTTCCGAAGATTTATAAATATCGCCCAAATGTCGTACGGTATTTCCGAACTTTCCCGAAGATTAGCGAAGATTGCCGAGGAAGATCTGGGTATGTTTCCACTTAAGATCAATAACCTTTGGATCATTACTATTGAAACATGACAAACTTGACAACATATCATTGGTGATATCAAACACGCGTAAAAAAATTATCGACGCGTTGCGATACTGTTTTCCTCGCTGGTCAAACTCCTAATAAACAACCGCAGCTTATTGGCTCGTTAACATTGAAACAAGGCAAACTTGACAACATAAGATTGGTGATATCAAATACGCGTAAAAAAATACCCTACTTTTGGACACATCACGATACTGTTTCCATACGTCATCAAACACCTAATAAACAACCGTCGTTTATATAATAAATCTCAAATAGCACACTTATGCCACCTTATAGCAAACTTCCCAAAACCTTCAACTTCACTTCATTCTCCAATATAAAAAAAAACTTCCTCCCCAGTACCTTCCCTTAACTGCATCAAGGCCCGCACTTTCTAACCTGTGGTTACCACTAGTTTAATTAAACTCTCTGAGCAAAACGCATGGGTGGGCAGTTCCAAAGTGATGCGAGGGTGAAGCGCGAGACGCGCAAGAATAGTACACCACGTGGGCGCGAGGCGAGTACCGAACTCATAGAGTCTAATCTGTTGGAAGACAGACGAGGGACTTGGGAGTCCTTGAGTCTCCACTGGTGTACGTGACCAAATCAAGCGCCGAGTCTCGATGTGTCTTACTAAAATGACAATTTCAAAATGCAAATTTTCGTGCCTGCTGGCAATAGAGACGGCTGTGAATGTTTTTAACGCCATATTGGTTGGGGAGAAACAGAGAAAACGATTTTGAATATGTGATACACCGTCCACGTCACGTAAAACCGGTTGAAATTATCGGTGTTTCCAAACTTTAAATTACTTTTATGGCATTGGATACTACTCTTGTGATGGTAATATTACAACAATGCATCTCTTTTCATTTCTAGGTGTATCGGTTGATAGTTATAAAATTATTCGTTGTCCAGTTCCGACGAAGTTTGCTGAAATCCCCGCAATTCACATCTCTCTACATTAAGAATAGCATCTGTCCGATTAGTTGTCCAGCCAAAGCTGTGTTCAAGGTTGAAAACCGGAAAATTTCATGGGCGGTTAATTACTCCGTAATTTCGGTGCGAAATTTCAGTGTTAATTTATGATTTCACTTGTGAAATTTTGCCAAGGAAACGTTTGACAAGTAAAAAGCCCATGATTGTAGGCGTAATTTGTAGGTAATCGAATGGTATACTTAAATTTAACGCACGCTAATGTGTTCCGAAATCCGAATTCCTGAACCAAGAAAAACGGTTCGATTTTTCCCATCAGGGTCGCGGCAAATGTCCCCCTTGCCGGAACCTCCTTGGCGGGAAAAATATGCGAGAGTGCTAAAGCAGAGGTATCCGCCCACTAGCGTTGAAAGTAAAAGAAAAAAATACCGCACCGACCGGAATCAAAGCCGATCAAAGTCATTCAAGGACCTTGCAATTGCCCAAGAAGGCAAGTGTCACTTTGATTCCGATGAAGAAAATTCAAGCTTGAGCTTGCTTTGTTGTTATTGTGTCCCACCTCCTGGCAAGGAACTCTTTTCCTTTACATTCAAACACTTAACAAATTGAGTACGCCTGTATGTACGCCAGCTCTAGCCGTTTTCCATAAGTTGAAATAGAGAAAAATAAGCTTAAGCGCAAGCTTATGTTTAGCAGTTTAGATCCATCTGATCAGCACAGCCGAGCTGGTATTGATGAGTGTCCTCTGGTAACCACAGTGTTTCTCTCGAAATATGAGGCCAGACGCTTTCGCCTAAAGGGGAATGGGACGAGACATGAGCGCGGCACGCACGAGAAGAGGTTTTTTCTCGACTCGCCTCATTCCTTACTCGGCCATACCGCCCTTTTGCGTTCGCGATGGCTAAACACCCGTGTAAGTGACACTGACAGAAAAGACAGGCTGCCAGCCGTCTAGAGAAAATATGAAACTTCTTGTTACACTGTGAAACCTGTTGGTTGCTTGCAGGACGTTTAGTTGATTTAAGGAGTACAACAAGTACTACAACAGCTCTGTGAGAAATTGCAAGCAACAATGACAAGTAAACAGTATTCTTACAGTCTACTTCCATGACAACGATGACAAATTACAAAAGAAAATTGAATACAAGGAATATGGTGGGAATACACGTACATATTTTGAACGAGCTTGTACAGATGTGTCTAAATAAAGTATTGTATTGTATTGTAGAACTCTACTGGACAATCTAGGATAAGCTGGGTGAACAGGAAAACTGCGACACAGCTGACTTCAATAAATAACATGAAAAAAACTTGCTGCAGCTAGGACAAAGTTCCACACTTCTTCCCGGCCATGGAACCTCTTTAGAATGGGGTAACCAGTAAAAAAAACAATAAAACGGTTAAAAAACATTTTCCATACATTTACCAGATTTCCTGAGACTAAATATACCAAACTGCTACAAGATTACAGACAGAGGCCTCCTTTTCAAGGGGATTCAGGGACATTTCTCCTACTTTATTCATATGTTTACCACTTTTGGAGATTGGACCTCATAATATATCATTATCCCCTCTCACCACCCGTACCCCACCCCTACCCTACCCCACCCCCAACACCATCAATGTTACAATCAGATTTGTGTCATACTTGGTAAAGTGACTTCATCCCTATCGGGTGACCATGTGACGTCCTCATGATTGATAATGTACATCACAGCCGTCCCTTCTTCATTCCTCACAGGTGCGATCAGAACGGAACACAAGAATGAAGTTCCTGCAAAATAAAACACAATAGTAGCATACAGAAATGGCAAAAACATAGCAATTTCAATTTGGAAGTTTGTACGAGAGAATGAGTATTCTTCAAAAATTATGCAAAGTCGAGAGAGGTTACAGGGTAAAAAATCTCTAACACAGGTAGGAGAAAAAAAGTTTATAGGTCACCATTAACCATGGTATCGGGGCCACCAATGGTCTGAAGGACTCAAATGTGCAGATGAGATGAAGGGGAGGATGCCAAGAGCTGTACTCCCCTAACTTATGCCTGAAACAATGAAGTGACAAATAATGATTACTTCATCTCCCCAAGGGTCCCCTTTTCTCTGGAATGGCTACTGTAGTGCACGGCCTATTTCTGAGAACAGCTTCTGGCCTTATGCAGGGAGTGGGTTTGAGGGGCCCAGCAGCATCCCCTCTCTTTAAAAGTTCCCCTAGCCTAAAGTGAAACCTTTAAATTTTTAGTACCACATGATGCCAACTACAGTGGAACCCCACCTTATGACCACCCTGTTAATATGGCCACCTTGTTATTACGGCCACTTTATTCTGGCCCCCTCAAAAAACGGCTCAGTCGATCATTTTCTTATTTAAAGAACCCCTTTAATACGACCACCTGTTAATACTGCCAGATTTTTGTGGCCCATTGGTGACCGGATTAATGGGGTTCTGACTGTGCAGTAATTTTGTGAACAATGTTAATATTCTATGGATTCATTGGTCATGAAGGAAAGCACTGATTGTCTCAGTATCATGAACTACATTGTAAACCTTTCTGAAGCAGAAACCTTGTTTCCACAAGGCTGGCAGCTGAAAATAATCCCCCAACACATTTAAAAGCGTTATCTCATATAGTGGGCTTCAGGATTTGGCAATTTTTTCATTACAAAGTTTGAAATGCAAAATAAGTCCCCCTCACTTCCTTCCTAAATAATCCCACTTCCCCCCCCCCCCCCCCCCCCCC